CTGAGCCAATATAGGCCTTTCACATCTCCCAAGCCTTACATCCTGATTAGTAAGATGCTGGATAGTAATTTAAGACAAGCTGTTTATGACATGAAGGGGCTGTGCGTAAACTTTGCTTGCTTCTATCTCACCGAGACCTTTGATGGCCTTCTTTTCACGAATTCCTGGGTGACAGTCCCTTATGTTTACATTTTGGCCATGGGCATGAAAAAGCAACGTGCCAAGCCCAACTCCCCTCCATGGGCCGGGCAAGCACAGTCCTCCTGCACAGCTGCTTTGGGCCTGGGTTTCTTCCTTGCTGTAAGCAGGGAGTGGGTTTTCATTGAGCAGGGTCTTTGTTGGGGTGACAGGGAGACTTCCCTCAATATTGTAAGATAGTGAAGAAAGCCAGCATAGTGCACATAGTGTGGCTTTACAGGTGTCCCAGGAGCGGAGCTCGGCTCCAAAACCAAACTGTCCGGTAAGCAGCACTGTGCGGGGGCGGGGGTGGGTGGGAGGGGGAAGGTGTCTGCCTGGACTGGCTCCTGACCACAGGGCCTCCCCCACAGTTCTCATCCACCCCCTGGACTCCGCTCTGCAATGTGCATCTCCCTGCCCAGGTATGATGAGGCTTTACGTAACTATAGCAAGCACCTGGGATAATTAAGTCATGAAGGGTTATGTTGGCTCTGGGGATATAGTTGGTCCCACCACTTGAGCTTATGGGAGCATCCTGGAGGGAACTTGTTGCTAAGCAAAACTACCTACTTCATAGGAAGAAAGCCACATAGAGAGAAAGAGGAAGAGGCTGAGGCCCAAAAGGTCATGACCCCAGTGACTTAAAGACCCCCCTCACTTGGCCCCACTCTTAAAAGTTGCACCCCCTCCCAGGGTCTAGCCTCTAGCACAAAGGCCTCTGGGAGCTAACTGTAGCCATGGGGGATTCTCCATCTCTGTCCCCATGCTGTGAGCTCAGGGTCCATCCTGATCCAAACCTACCCCCACCCTAAGGCCTCTAAGGCCCCTGAACCCTTTCATCTAACATTTGGTAAGACTTGCTTTTCTGGAAAACACTCCTGGTCACGGATCTCTAAAAGTGGCTGTTTTATTGAGGGTCTGTTTCTTTCCTTAGAGGTGAAGAAGGTGACTGTCACTCAGTGCCAGTGCTGGGTGCGCCCTACCCCACCAACTGGGGCTCCTGGGTCAGGCTGACCTTATTTGCTGGGATCTTTCTTTACCCCACTGGCTATGTTGAAGAATTTGTGGGTTAATAGCATCATTAAAAAAATGTGTTCCCTGTGTAGATGCTTCTATGTTTCCTCACTCCACACGACCATGCTATTCTCTACAGCTTTTAGGACAGTGTCCATGTCTAAGGCCTGATGTCCCCTACTAGGCCCTCTTGTGTACTCTGCCCTGTTTGAGCTCAGAGGGAGATGGGCCTGGGCCTCTAAGGGGCAGAGGGTGAGGCCAAGGGGAGTCAGGGGGGTGGGCAGTGTAGGGAAGTGATCCCCAGGTCCTGGGCCCAGACAGCGGGGTAGGCAAGGGACAGGTCATGGGAGATGGGATAGCAAACCAGGGGTCACTCCCTGGGCCATCAGGGACTGGGCTGTGAGGTGGGCCTCCAGACTGGGACACTGGGAGGGTACACTCACTGACCAGACGCATGGCTACTGGTACCCTGGGGTTAGGGGAGAAGCAGATACCACTGAGACATCCGGAGACTGAATTAGGAGTGGGAAGGGAGCCCACACACCTGCTGTGGCCCAAGACGCCCTTGCTAGGTGACCCTCAGCCTATATATTCTCTCTCCCCTTGGGAACCATCCTGTAAACACCACGGAGGATTCCACAGAGCTCTGGGTCCAAATGGTGTGTGGGGAGAGCTAGGCACTCATGTATGAATCTCTTGGCCCCCTGTCCCTGTCCCTCTCATGTCCCAGATTCATCCACACCTCCCATGGGCAGCCACACTTAGGGAGCTTGACATAGACAAAGCCTCCCTACCCCTGGTGTTGGTCTCAGGGCCCCTGTGGTCAGGAAATGCCCGGACTCCAAGTTTCTCCAGGTTCACCCCTTAACCTTGTGGCGCCAGGCCACACCGAAAGAGCTGGAGCTTGGCCCAAGCAGTACTCTCAGTCAGTACCCCTGGCCTATGTGGAAGGCCGGCCATCCCTGGGAAGGGCCAGGGTAGATGATGAGTAACAAATAAATAGCAAACACAAGTAAAGCCCTTGATCCTTTATTTAACAATTCACAAGGTTGTTGTTTCGTTTTTGCATTGCGTCTGGACTTGCCTGCAAAAAGTGGGGGAGGCTAGAAAGAGCTCCTGATGGACATCCCGTTCACATTTTGGTTACAGAATTATCGCCACTGTGAATTTGGAACCGAATTAGTGAACATGTCCCAGACAGCTGTCTTTCAGCTACTCCACCCGTAGAATGCACTACACCAAAACACATGAGATGTGCGTGGGCAGTGAGCGATCTGAAGGCGTGAAGACTATGGTGAGACTGCAAGCGAACGCTGTTCCTGTTGTGGAGAGAGTAGAACTTTGGCAGGGCGGCCTCATCGGTTTTGGCGTCTTGATCTTTTGTCACGTGGGAAGGTGAGATGGCGGCCCTCTGAGGGAGGCATCTGCTCAGGACTCTCCAGCGGTGTCTTCCGTTGCTTTTACCTGCACTGTGCTTGGCTTCTTGGGGACACCTGCACACCTGCTCCCCTCCGAGCATGCGCCCCTCAGCCCCAGCATCCCAGAGCTCCGAGAACACCGCCTTACACACTACAGGTGCCTGGAAGCACTCCCTGACAGGCAGGGTGAATGGTGGATGATGAATCTTTTGGATGGATGAGGGCATGCTGGGAGAACAGCCCCTCCCCCAGTCATGGAGACAGGGCTGGGCTGCTCTCCACAGCACGGAGACAAAAAGGAAAATGTGGAGTGGGTAAGTAATCTGTTTTGTCCAATTGTAGAATTCCACATTGGGGAAACTGAGGAACAGAATTGGTAGCAGACTCTGTCCATGTCTCACGTTGAACGAGGCCAGGCGGCTTCAGAACCAGCCTGGAATATGTCAATAGTATTTTTTTTATCTTTTTTTAATTTTTTATTTCTTGAAATGAACTCAAAATGAGATGAGGTGGTGAACTGAAGGGGGTGGTTGGCCTCAGGGTGGGGGTGGGTGGAGGCAGGGCAGGGGACCTGGGAGGAGGGAGGGGAATAGGGAAGGAGGGGCCAGGGGGCAGGGATGGTGGGAGGTGGCAGGGAGTTGGGGAGCTGGGACACACCCTCATCAGGATGAGGGTGGGGTGAATGGGGAGGGGTTTCAGGGTGGGACTTGGGAGGGGCTTGGGCTGATGATGACCAATGAATGACCAATGGCTGGGAAGAGATTCTTTGAGTCAGGGCTTAGGGTAGTAGTGAAATGACTCCAGGGTAGAGGTTGGTGGGTGACAAGGTCGAAAATGAGTGACAACGGTGACGCAATGACCAATGGGTGAAGACCATGAAGCTGGGAGTGTGTACTGTGATCATGATTTGAATGACAGTAGGTAATGGTGACAAGGACTGGTAAGCAAGTACTCAGAGCAAGGTAAACACAGCTCACACTTAAAGCTAAGAGCATAGATTCCTACCCAAGAAACCTAAGAAGCAAAGGGTTCCTACCTGGGACCCAAGGACTGTGTAGCACCCAGGCCCCAAACCAGACCTGGGAAGCTACACAGGACTCTATCTCATTTCTTTCCTATGGGGTTTTTTTTTTTTTTAATATATATTTTGTTTTTTATTTCGCAAAAAAAGATAGATGCTCTTTTAAAAAAATCAAATTCATAATTCAGAAGCTGGCTAGGTCTTTTGGGATCTGAGGGTCGTTGTCTAAGCAACACAAAGGTACATCCATGGCTGTGGACAGGTGCTAGCCTACTTTTGCCATAGAACTAGAAAACACCCCACAAGCAGCCATTTCCACTAAAGCCTGCGAACACCTTGGTGAGGGCTCCGTTGCTCGCTCAGATTCTGCCAGTGGGGCACTTGTGGTTCAAGGCACACTTAAGTCTGAAAGCATATCATCTCTACTCTACAGGGTAAGAGGCAAGTGTGGGGTGGAGCCTGGGGGTAAGGGGCTGGGGCGGAGCTGAGCTGGGGCGGGGAGTGGGTTGCTCAAGAGGCAACACCAAATGGCACATTTTGACCTGAAGGGGCCAATGTTTTTTCCCAAACTGGACATGAGCCAGGAGGCTCTCCACTTTGAGAAACGCTATTGGGATCGACCTCAATATCAAGTGTACAGCCAGGATAGGCCAAAACCTTTCGGATCCCAGGATGAGACCAAGTCTCCATCAGATCCTTTCCTTGGAGTCAGGAAGTATTTTGGTATATATCCCTCGTTCCTAATTCTGAATGTTGGAGCTAGAGAGGACCTTAGCGGTTTGGGTGTTTGCACCCCTCCCTCAAGAGAGGGTTGGGGAGATGGCCCAGGGTTGGGAATGGGGTCTCGCCAAGGGTCACACAGCGAGTGGGCAGCAGGGCTGAGACTAGGTCCTGGCCTGTCTGCCAGCAGCCAACCTGGGGGCTCTCTCTGCCTGACACACAGCCACTACACACTGCAAAGTTCACAAATCAATCGGAAAGATCTCAGGGTTGCGGTGTGAGACTGGATGTGAGTGTGAGTCGAAGTGGTGTGTGAGAATTAATGAACGAAAGAGTTTAGCCCTTTTCACAGTGAGTGGTCAAGTACAGCAATCTTGTGGTTGCACGAGGGCCTGGTGGCTGAAACCCCCTGGGAGAGGGACCTCACCACCAAGTCCTGGTTCTGTTCCCATGTTTTTTTTTGGTCTTTTTGATTTTATATTTGATATATTGATATACTGATACTTAAGAGTTTAGAATAACATACTTATTTCTTTAACTCATTTAGAGATGAAATTCTTATTATTATTCATCATTATCATGCATTAAGAGGGAGGAAGAGGGGTCTTAGGTGGCATGGCAGCGTGTCACACAGCAATGCAAAGACAATGTACGTAAGCATAGCGTTCACTAGATGTCACACAAGCGAGAGCAAGCGGTATCACAAAGAGAAGCACAGACCGCAAATAGTGAGCTCTGAGGAACCCGGATAAGAGGGAGGGGCCTGGGGGAACGCTGCTTAGATCTCCTCGTCGCCAGTCTCCTTGTTGAAGGTGGTCATGTCGATCTTCTCTGGGAAGATGATATTCACCGCCAGCTCCTCCCCACTGTTGTACTGCAGCAGCAGGTTCTTCTTCTTGCGCAGCATGTGGTTGTAGCGCAGGTTGGACACCCAGGCCTCGCACTTGTTGAGGAAGACGATGGCCACGGTGCCCAGAACCACCAGGCTGGTGAGCACACCCAGGATGGTGAAGCAGATGGCCTGTCCCTCGGTGAGGAGAGGGGTACTCTTGTTGAGCTCTTTCATGGACACCTTCAGGATGCGGTGCTCGGGCTGCTGAACTGGCAGCTCGTGCACCCCGGGGGTCAGGCGGTAGGTGAGCCCGTAGTTGCTGGGCAGGTGGGTGACTTGCACGGGGTTGGACGGGCGTTTCTTTGCGCATGTGGGACCCATGAACGGGGGCTTGCACAGACACTCGTAGCTCACCTGGGTGTGCTGGAGGCAGGTGGCCCCGTTCAGGCACGGGCCACTGGCGCAGCTGCTCACCGGGCGGCTGCAGGTCTTGTCGATGAACCCAGCTGGGCAGCGGCAACGGAAGTCGCCCCCGATGTCGGTGCAGACGCCATCATTCTCGCATGGGTTAGGGGTGCAGCTGTTGGCAATGATCTCGCAGAAGTTGCCAGAGAAGCCAGGGGGGCACAGGCAGGAAGCATGCGAGGCCCGGCCCTCGTCATCCACACAGGTACCCCCGTGCTGACAGGGAGAACTGCAACACAACACCATGGACATGGTAAGGGCCCCCACCCTGGGGGCTGGGCCGGGACAGAGCAGGAGGGGCAGGGGCCGGAGGTGAAGCTCCCTTCTCTGCACCTCCCGACAAAAGGGCAGGGCTCAGAACACACCAGGCTAAAAAGGGGCGAAATGCCAGCCAGGGAGGCACCCCACCCTCTCCAAAGGTGGGGTGCACACACACCGCAACCCTGTCACAATGTCAGCCTGGTCAACCTGAAACCGAATCGACCTCTCGTGCCCTCCCCCCATCTCTTACTTCAACTCTCAGGCCAGAGCATGCACTGTCAGCCGCTAGACAGATGGGGAAACTGAGGCTAGGAGAGGGAGCATTAGTAAAGAGTCCAGGCTTATGTAAGATCCCACACGAGGAGGGCCAGGAGGCACCTGGTGCCTGGGCTCTCCAAGGGGGGGATCTGCCCTTAGTCAGGGCTCCAGTGTGTGTGCCCCACACCACACCCCATCCCTTATTACTTTTATTTCTACTGGAGTGGGCCCAGCCAGCTATTATGAAGGATACCCCTGGGGGGCGGGGGGCTCTTAGTGAAAGAAATACAGGTTGTATCTATGCTGGCAAGAGTGGCCAGTGAACTGTTTAATGGTGGTCCATTCACCCAAGTGCAGCTTGCAAACTGAAGCTGTGTGCTCAGAGTGCAGCACAAGGACCATTTAATGTGAGTGCTTTTAAACAAGCTAGCCCTTTGTCATCTGATAAATGCCAAAACTCCGGGAAAGAAAAGCCCCCACCCAGCCCACACAAAGAGTAAGCCCTGCAACTTCAGCCCTAGGGCTGCAAGTCCCTGGGCTCTGAAAATTTCCCAAGGGCCCCTGGGCTCTATTTTGACAGACTAGAACAAGATGAAGGGTCTTGTCGTGTGTTGTTCCCCTTTGCCAGTAAACTGTAGTGGAGTTCAATGGTCACCATCTCCAGTGTCCTTCCTGAATACAGATATGAAGACCCCTCCCATCTCCTCCAGTCTCCCCAACTGTGATATCCTAAACATCCCCCCTACAGTATGGTAAGCCTGTCTCAAGGCCTGGTCCTGCTGAACTCTGATCTCTTATTACGTTGCCTTTAGAAAATTATACAGCTTGGCATCTCTGTCTCTATCTCAATCTGCTGTCATTCACTGGCATCGGGGCTTGGGAACATCAGGGGAATATGAAATTGCCTTCAGGACCGTCTGAAAAAATTATGGAAATGACACAATCCTCCATAAAAGCCCCCTACCCTGGTAGAGCTGATGTGGGGCCCTGGGGCTGCCTGGAGCACTTCTTTTTATCAGGTGACAGGTCCCTAGGGGTTAGGCTGAGAAGGTCTTCAAGGGTGAGGTGAGGATATTTACCCGTTGATCACACAGGGCCCAGCTTTGTTCTGGCAGTCCTTCCCAGAGAAGCCAGGAGCGCAGGAGCACTCGTACTGGCCCTTCTCGAGGTCCAGGCAGGTTCCATTGTTGGCACAGGGGGTTGAGGTACAAGCCCGCATGTCTGGGAAGCAGAAAAGCCAGTGCTTAGCATTCCCTTTCAGAGGCCAGTGTGAAAGGGACCCCAACAGCTCTGCTAGTGACTTCCAAGAGGGCTTTGCAGAGCTCTTCCTTCTCTCCATGGACGGAAACTGAGGCAGAGCAGGAAGGAGCTGGAAAGGGTGCAGTGAACCCCGCCCCCAAAGTCCTGAAGTGCTGAGGGTCACGAGCTTAACTATAAGTCACCAGTGAGAAAGTCAAGGCCACCAGTAACCAAGATAAGCAGCTGCACACTTTTCCTATCATCCTTGCAGGGGCCGCAGGGCCTTCACCGCAGAAGCCTTTGTCCCTCCGCAAAACAGGGGGCGAGCCAAGATTCCCCAAAGCCCATCTCCTTTCTTACGTTCAGCTTCTCGCTTTTAGGGGAAGGGGTCTCTGCCACCTTGGGAACCAGTACAGACTGCTGCTTGCAGGGGGCACGGGGGGGGGGGGCGGGGGGAGGGGGAACACCAGCCTTTCACACTTTCCCATCAAAGATTCCCATCAGGAAACCAGGAGTCTAATTTAGCCCCAGGGCTGCCTCCCCACCGGTGGTCCTTCTGTTCTCTAGTTCTGAACTAAGGGGTCTGAGGGTAAAAAGGCTGCGTCTTTTGAAGGCAGCAAAATTAGAACTATTGAGCGCTCTCCTGTCCACTCGGGTTTCCATGAACGGTGCTCTATCGCCAGAGCTTTAACGGCCGGCCCCCCACCCCCACCCCAGGCTTTCTTCATTATTGGGCTCAGCAAGCCTGGGATGAGCTGAACAAAGGGGCTTAGGGCAAGGGTTCTCTGACTGCGGAGACCCCAGCTGCCTAGCAAGGTCAGGAAGGGACCCTTTGTGCCTCTCCAACCTGCTGCCCCACGGAGGAGTTTAGCTCCTGCCTGCTCTGCCTCAGTCTCCCTCCATAGAAAAGGAAAAGCCCTCTGGAGCCGATCTCGGAGTGTTTTCTCCTATGTGAGCTACCCAGGGCTGGCCAGAGATTGCAAGTGAAGGCAGCCCCAGGAAAGGGGTCCCCGATGCTAAGCCCACACGTGGGCATTTTTTTCTCCTTCAAAGGGGTTTGCACCCTGGTGGAGGGGGAACGGTATTCATGGGGAAACCTGTGTACCATGTTGATGGACTCTGCAGGGGCCAGGTATGGTGCAAGGGTATCTAAAGAGGATTTGTCTTTCCGGGATAGTGCCAGCAAACAGTTAGCGCACAGCCTCTGCCGCTGGCTCCTGCTTCTCTCTCTACCTCTCTTTTCCTACCACTTGGAATTCTGAATTTAAGATAAAGACCTGGCGACCACCCCTAGACTATATTGCTCAGTCCCCCTAAATACCAGCTCCCCAGAGCCTCCAACCCCAAAGACAGGGGTGGATGAGCTGCTGCAAGGAGGGGGCTGGGGGGGGGGGTTCTGCTTGAATAGCAGCTGTGGCCAGGCGGGCAGACAGGGAGAGGGACAGCAATTACCCAGGGGCTATTTTCCCCCTGGGACAATCCTCAAGCCCCACCATTTCTACAGGCAGATAGCCTTTGTGAATCTGATGGCGAGGGGCTGTGCCTGCTGAGGGACCTGTGAGGGAGAATTCTGTCTAGAAAGCTGTTCTGGATTCAGATATCTAGAAGGGTGGGGTCCAGGTTACAAGCCTAACCCTGGTCAGTGGTTTTTCTAGCATCCCCCAAACAAGTTGGAGCATTCGTAGTTGCTACTGCTGCTGCTGCAGCAGCAAGGGGCTGCAGAGCTGTGGTCACAGCATGAGTCAGCTGCACCATACTACCGCTCCAGGAGAGGGAGGCCACAGGCAATTTGGGGTACAGAGGTCCCTTTGCTTCTCTGATCCTCGGTTTCCCTATTTGTCACTGGCCATGTTGAGGAGACAGGCCCTGGGGCATCTAGCTGTCTGTCTTCCTGCTGGGATTTTATCTCTGGGCTGGGGGGGGTGGGCACACACCCTTTATTCGTGAGGACTTCAGTTTGCCTTGGCTTTGGGGACCGGGTTAGCAAATGGGAATGGCCCTACAACAATGCCGCTGTCAGTTTACAAAGATTATATAAATTAATGAAATCAGCAGATAACATCAGTCTGTACCTTAACCCTCTTCTCCCCGCCACCGCCACCAACCTCCTGCAACACTTGACTGCCCCCCCACCCTTGTGCCTCCTGGTGATTCATCCTCAGCCCCCACCATCACCACTCAGCATTAGTCACCCCTCCCCGATTTGTTTGTTGCCTCCCCTTTCTTGATGTTCGAGCCCCGAGAACCACCCCTCCCACAGCACACACAGAAGACCCCCCCCCAATCTCCCAGGCCCAGTCCCAGTCTTTGGCCCAGCCACCCTGGACATGCTGTGTTTTATTGTGTGACTCTTTTATTCAACAGGCGGTTTTCCAGCGCCCCCTCCCCAAGTCTGGGAACCCGTAGAGCTGAGGTGACCAAAATATAGGCATTTGAGGCCCAGTAGGAAATGTATATGCACTATAGATCATATATTACAAATGGAGACCCTTGGGGGCTCTGGGCTGTATAGCCCCGGGAGGGGGAGGGGGAGGGGAAAGGGTGATGTGCCCACCTATGTCGCAGAGTTTCCCGTCCCAGCCTTCCTTGCAGAGGCATTGCCATGGTTCCTCGCAGAGTCCATTGATGCAGCCAGGAGAGGTTATGCACTGGTCACACAGGGGACCCTCCCAGCCGGGCTGGCACCTGTGCGAACAAAGGGGAGAGAGGGGGGCACATGAGGGGAGCAAGGGTCCAAAGAGGGCTCAGGCTGTTGTTCTGCCGATTGAGAACCCTCGGTGGTTTTTGTACAGTGGGTCCCAGGAGCAAACAGCATCACCTGAATGGAAACTCAAGAGAAGGTGTTCTAGGGCAGAAACACAGGGTCTTCCAGACCCCCACAGGAACCACATTTGATGCAGTGACCCCCAATGGTCTCAACCTGCAAGACATCCTCCTGCCCCCCTCCTCCTGCCCCCTCCTCCTGCCTCCCTCCTCCTGCCTCCCTCCTCCTACCTCCTCCCCCCTCCCACCAGTTATCTGCAGGAACAAGAAAGCTGTGACGCAGTTTTGTGGCAAAGCACCCCCCTCTGTTTAGCCTGGCTCCAAGACCCCACAGGACCCCACCATGGCCCCCAAACAGCTTATTCCATTACCTGCAAACGTTGTCATCCTCGCAGAATCCATTTTTGGGGTTGCAGGCTGGGTCGCATTCAGCTCCTGGGGTGGGAAAAAAAAGTACGCAATCACCTCACAAGGCCTACAGGACTACAAAGACCATTCCCTCTCAAATGGCCCCACTGCACCTCAGCAGGGGGGATCCAAAGACACCCCTGCTGGATCCTTCCAGCCTGGCACACAGTAGGCTCTTGTCTGTAGATGGATGTGGCCTGACCTACCCAGGAAAACAATCCTGTGTGTTTTTAGCCATGGGATAGGCACAGCACACCCCTGGTTTTCCAAGTGCAAAACAGACACCTTTCTCCCCAAAGAAAACAGGAACCCCCAGACCACTAAAAGCAGAAATAGGGGGCAGTGAAGAGTTGGCCTTTGACCCCTGGGCATTCAGTCAAGCCCTTGATTTTGCAAAATGAGCTAAAGGGGAGATTTTGAGGTCCCTGGGAAATCTCAAAAAAGTCCACCTGCCTGGCACACAGGTAAAGCGACTAGATTTCCCCCCAAGATTAACCCCAGTTACACCAAGCAGTCAAATCCTGTCTCTCCCCCCCCCCGCCCCCCTTCCCCTACCCGACGCTGGTCGCATTAAAAGAACTGCGCAATAGCTCTGCAGGGCCTCTCAGATTCCAACACTAATAGACACCTACTGTATGCATCTGCTCAGCCGCTCTTGGGCTTTCCAGACAGCCCCCCGCCCCTCACACACAACCAGTGGCGCAGTGGGGGCTGGGGTCGCTGCGGGAAGGGGGCAACTCTCTCGCTGCCAGTGACAGATGGCCGCTGCAGTGTCGCAGCCCCTCACCTAGAGAAAACTGCGTCACGCAGGAGGGGCTCCTGTTGGAAATTGGGGACTACAACTGCAAAGTCATCCTCCCCAAAGCCCCCAGACCTGTTTCTAAGCACATACGCAGGACGGACACCCCCAAAGTTGAGCCCAAAACCGTTTTTTTCCCTTTTCTTAAATAAAATACCCCCTAGTGCAGCCTCCTTTTTCCATACCTCCTCAATCCGCACAACGACACCCCTCCGAACGCCACTTCTGCTGGGCAATAAGGGGCTGGGCCCTCCACCTCCCGCAAACCCCGGGACCCCAGGACTGGGCTCGGCACGCAGGAGTGGCGCAGGGAGGGTGAGGGGGGCGCAGCGCGGGGCTTAGGGTTAGGCGGGACGGGCGGGACTTAGGGCGCACGGGACAGGGAGTATGGGGTGGTCGGCGGGGTGGTCGGCGGGGCATCGCAGGCTTCCCCAGAGGGGGCGCGAGCCAAACCGCCAGGGGTCTCACCATAGGTGCTGTGGCCGAAAGCCAGCAGGAGCAAGAGGACGCGCAGGAGGGCTCCGGTCGCGGTCATCTCGGGGTGGCCTGGGTCGCGGTCCGGGGAGCGGCGGCGGTGCAGAGGGGGCTCCGGGGGCTGCGCTGGGCTTCTGGTTGCGGACGATGAAGGGGGCACGGGTGTCCAGCGGAGGGAAAGCCAGGGTTGCACTGGGGCGCACACTGCTAGGTGCGGGGCGCACGCTGCTAGGTGCGGGCCGCCGAGGAGCTGCGGCTGCGGCCCGCGCGCCGCCTTTTCGTACTGTCGTCCCCCCCCCGCGGCCCCCGCCCACGCCCACGCCTCGCGCGCACGGGGCAGGCGCCGGCCAGTCCCGGTGACCCACCCCCTGGCGGGGCCGCCCCCCAGCGCCGCGGCGCCCGGAAGCGGCTTGCGCACGCGGGCGCACTCTTGGCTAGACGGGTACCTGCGCACGATGGGCACGCGGTCCTCACACAGGACAGCACGCGGCGGAGGCGGTGGTGGCGCTCGCATAGGCCCGCTTAGCGCAAGTCTCAGGAACCAAGCCGGGCGGGCGGGCAAAAGCCCTAGCACGCACTCAGAATACAAAACGCTCACAGACATAGTAAGACACTTAGGGCTTTGGTCCCGCGCACACATGGCGCGGGTCAAAAGCCCAGAAGGACCCAAACGCACACCACAAAGATGTGGAAGATGCACATGATCACAGATGCACACACGAAAACGACCACGAAAAGCCGAAGCCCCCCGACGAGTCTTGCCATTGTGGAGTATGGGATAGGTGCAGGTGCACTTGTCCCACGGAGCCCAAACCCCAACACACCTTCGACACAAAGCACACCTTAATACCCCTCCCTGGGGCGCAGGTCACAGACCGGGGGCAGCAGGAACTGTCCGAGATCTGCTCCAAGCAGGGGAAGCGCCAGCTATGAAAGACTGCCTATGCTGCCCCTCCACGCAGCCCGCCTGTAAACACATGAGACCACTGGTAAACACCGACGACATCATGCGTCACCCTCTCCCCCTCCCCTTTTTCAGGTACTGCAGCCCCAGCCTGGGCCTTATCGTGCTGAAACATAAAATCACCGTCTCTTTCCAACATACAAGGCTACACACCTGATAGGAGCACCTATGCCCAGTCCCCCAAACTGTCTCAGATTTGTGGGGTCACTCAACACTACCCCAAAGCACACACAATCGAATCCATCTTTGTTCACGGTGACACATGTTGACAGTCTCACCAATATGTTCCCAGTCAAATGCAATTAACCACACTCAACAACTTTCATTCAGGGATGGCTCTGAGGATGGAAGGGCGGGTGGGGGGCTACTGATTCTGTCAGAGTTCCTGGGGTTTACCCTTTCCTGCTAGACCCCCAACAAAGGCTTAGAGCTTTTCACTCAGCTGGGAAACTGCCCCATCTCCCATTCTGAGGCTCAAAAGGAAAAGGGGAAGGAGGCAGCCAGCCGAGTGGACTGAGTCACTTAAGGGGGCAGGGAGATGGCTCTGTGGGTAAAGGTGCTTGCAGCCAAACTTGAGTTCGATCCTTGACTCCTGAAGTTGTCCTTTGACCCCCCCCACAGGCACCCCCTTAAATAAAATGGAAATAGGGTCATTGAGAGGTAAAGGTGCTTGCTACCAAGCCTGATAGCCCAAGTTTGATCTCCAGACCCCATATAGTGAGAGTCTGAGGGCTATTCTCTGGCTTGTACATGCTTCTCATGGCTTGTACTAACCCTTTCTCTCTGTCATCCCCGACTCTCTCTGTCTCTGTCTCTTCCCCCCACACAAATAAATAAATATAACATGTAAAGTCTAAAAGTAAAGGTTAAAAATCACAAATAAAATATAAATAAATATATATTTTTTTTTAGTATGGAAAGATGGCTCAGCAGTTAAAAGCACTTACTGTTCTTCCAGAAAACCCAGGTTCAGTTCCCAACACCTATATGGCAGCTCAAAACTGGTTGTAAATTCAGTTTCAAGAGCACCAGACACACACGTGTGGTACACACATATAAGCAGGCAAAATGCTTATACACATAAAAAACTTATAAGATACAATGTAAATAAATAAATAAATAAATAAATAGAAAGTCTTTTTAACCTATGAGAAAAATGTTAGGATTTTTAGATGGGTCATCCAGATATGCTTAATTTGAATATATTAATTTTCATCTAGCTCTCAGGTGCTATGAGCTGGTGTTTTCCTAGTCATTGTTCCTTTTCCCCACAGTTGGGGGGGGCTTGTGGGGGGGTTGAGAGCCAGACAATGAGAACCCCTAGGGAAGAGAGCTGGGAGTGGGCACATGGTTGGGCTGGAGGCTGAAAGAACACACTTCCCATTTTTTTGGGGGGGGGATATGTTCTTTTCTTGTACTTTCTGCAGAACCTTCACATGACCGTGGCTTGGAGGAAATAGCCTCTGAGGCAGGCTAGAGGGCTGAATCGGTGTGGGTCCACAGACTCCCTTGCAGGCTAGAGGGCTGAATCGGGTGGGTCCACTGTCTTCCTTGGATTCTTGTCTTCAGCTAATAAACCGAGACAGACTGGCGAATCCAACACTTTTGTTTGGGGGTGGTGGTGAAGGAAGGGTAGGGGTAGAGGGTGGGAGGTTGTTGTTTGACTTTTTTTTTGTTTGCTCTTCCCTCCCCCAAAGCCCCTGGTTAAAGCAAGAGTGGTCGGCAGGCACCACTGCCCCTCCTTTGTGATCACCAACGTCTCTTTGGTCCTCTTTCATCTCCTCCTTCCTTCCAAATCCCTGACCTCAGCCTCCAAAATTATCCCATGCCATGCAGTGCAGCAGGCAGGCTGGAGGGGCCGAGTTCTCTGCCAGGATTAAGGAGACTGGAGGACCTTGGGCTGGGCCACTGGGATAAAGGGCAGATCCCTGCACTCCTGCTCAAGGCAATAGAAAAGGTGCGGTACAGAGAGCACAAAGAGCCGCAGAAGCAGTGAAATGAGCCCTTCATCTAGACTCCGTTTGCCCCTCCTAAGCCCTTCTATACCCTGCCCTCCCTGGGTTTGGAAAGAGAAAGAAGCAAGTCACAGGGTTAGCTAAGCTAGATGCCTAAATGTCACAGGCTTAAACTAAAGGGCATTCCTGTAGCTGATGGGTACGTGCTTTGTAATCCCAGAGCCATCCCGTGCCTGCTGAGGGCTCTGGCCAGTCGCCTTTTCTGAGCCATGTTTCCATGTCTGTAAGCAGGGATCACACACCTGTCACTGAAGAAAACCTCAGGGTTTTGTAGGCAGGAAAGCTACAGTACCTGAAAGGTCCACCCACATCCCGGGCTTGAGTTCAGCCCCAGATAGCTACAAGGACCTCGGAGAGGAGCAGACAGCGTCCTCTTCTGGAGCCCCTGCACAGTGGCTTTGGGGTGGGGGAGTTTCCTCTTTCAAAACCCACAAGCCCGGGAGTTTTATGAGGGTTTGCTCTGGTCTCAATAAAGCGTTTGTTAATGCTGCTGGCTGAAGATGTCTGTGTGATGAGCAGATGCTGTGAAGGAAGGGGTAGCACAGGAGCCCTGTGGGGAGGGGGGAGGGAGTGGGGGATGGGAGTTTGAGGGTAGGGGGGCGAGGGGGGGAGATTGGAGACTGTCACTGGCTCTGAGGCTCCTCTGAAAGCATGAAAATGCCAATCCAGTCCCTCGGGGAGCAGTCGGCACAGTCTGCCTTTTGCTGAGCAGATCTTGGGGGCTGGGAGTCACGCCCCCCTCCTCTATCTGAGCATCCTTCTCGGCCCCTCCTTTTCACAGGCGTCTGCACACAGACCCCTGGACTCTCCGTGGTGAGGCTAGCAGCCCCCTACTGCCAAAGCATTGCCCAGCAATCACCATAGCAGGATAGCCGGGTGGGGGTAGGGGACGTGGGGGGGTGTCGGTGGGCTATGCAGGGAGCAGAGACTGACTGGATCTGCTCTCTATGGGGGGGGGTCCACAGGCAAATCTAGGCTGCTTCAGAACTAGGCTGCTTATCTCTGGCCAAGCCAAGGACTCTTTAACTCCCAAGCTCTGGCAGGCAGAAGACGAAGGCAGGGGTATTTTATCCCGCAACGGAGATGGTCTGGCTGTGGGGAGGGGGGGGTCAAAGTTTTCTGGAAGAATCCAAGAAATGCTGTCTCTGGCCCATTTCCAGTACCCCACTCCTCCCTCCCTTCCACCCTCCCTCTCCAGCCCCTACCGCTGCCTCCAGCCCTCAGCAGACCACTTGGCCCTTGATTAAATACAGAGTCGGTGGTCAGCGAAGCTCCGTGGGGGCGGGGCCGATGGGCCCCTCAGACAAGCCAGTCCTGGTCTGCACCAGAGGGTTAGGCCAGCTGGTGGGGGAGGGGCCTAACCCCAGGTTGACATCTTGCTGCACACCCCCATTGAGAATCTCTCAGCCTTGAAGCTTTGTTTCTGCCTAAACTGGGCTGTAGGCTTAGGAGATGTCAGAGGCTCTGTTGAGGAGTTCAGGGACCGTCTACAGAGAAGTAAACTAAGGTCTGGTGCGGTGCTTGGGGGCGGGTGGGAGGGTGGGAGTGCCTTTGTGCTAGCCGTACAGCTGACATTCTCCTACCTCCATCGACCCAAGGGCATTGCCCTTCCCTTCCCTTCCCTTCCTTCTGCCCCCTCTCCCCCAGACTGGTTGTTCTGTGAAGCAAGCACAGAGACCCAGGGACAAGTCAGGCTCGACTCTGTGGCCTTATCTCCTGCTGAGCTCACTGTCTCCTCTTCCTTCCCAAGAGCTCATCTTTATTTATGCCCCAGTATAGTGGGTTTCAGCATCACCACAGATTTCTCATACCCTGAAGCTGTGGGGCTGCAAAGCTACTCCAGAGCTGAGCACCTGAGTCTGGAGAGTTTTGCAGATGACCACAGAGTAGCAAAGCTGGGAATCAAGGCATGGCCCTACTGGCTTTCAAGCCACAGCTCTCTGCTCAGAGGAGAAACCACAGAGGCAAGAAAGAATATGATGAGCAGAGAGTGGGACCACCTCTAGGTACCCCCAAAGCCCTGCTTCCTCTCTTGGGGTGGGAGGGGTGGCTCAGCAACCCGTGATGCTGCTGTGAAATTCTTCAGGCAAATATCAGAGACAGAGATGCTATGCTATAAGAGATACGCCTCTGCTCTTGGGATTATGCTGGAGAATATATCCTTCCCCCTGCCACTGTCTCTCTGCCACAGAGGGGTGGGCCAGAGGCAGAAGACTGGGGGAAACAAGAGTCACATGGGGTACATTCAGTCAGAGAAAATGTTCTTCAGTCTTAAGATAAGAGGTTTTGCGTGCAGAGAGCTGGCATTGCGGCCCATGGCCTCAGAGATGCAAGCCTTGTGTTGGTCTGATGTGTGGGGCTGGAGAGGTGCATCACAACCCCAGGCCCCACCTTGGGCACACTGGGGCACAAGTCCTGCATAGTCCCAAGCTCCCATGTGGATTTGCCTAAAATTCGGGAGAGAAAGCCCAGGCCCTGCCCCAGCTTGGGTATGCTTGAGAGACAGAATCATACTAGCATTGGCTGGGGCAGGGTCTCTCCTTTCTTTCAGACATCACCAGTTTCTCCTTTGTCAGTGATAGGACTAAAAAATAAATAGACTTTCTCACTTCCTTCCCCAGTGCTGTCTACATGGATATCAAATTCATCTCATACATACCAGCTAAATTATCCTCTTAAAGGGCATCACTGAGTCATGCTGCATCGGTGGGGCATTCTGGGGGTCTCTGGAGGGCTTAAGTGACTCCTCATGGCTCCTCTGCACTGGGAAGGTAGTAAACTCACCCTCCAACCAGGGAGGAAGACGTTCAGAGGAACGAGGAGGG